ATTCTTGTTCCTTTATCTTGATTTTGTTCATGGCTCTCTCTGGTTTCATATGCATACATTTGAACTTTGCATCATTGGATCTTTAACTTAGTCAATCTGTTTACTGCCAGTGATACTTTTTAAATGTTTTTTTTTAAATCTGCACTTGTTTGCAATTGTCTCTGACAAAGAGGCTTTTTGATTGAGAAGAAAGTTTTTGCTTAGATTGAAACTCGTCTACAGTATACAGGAATTAAATGGACATGATAAATTTGGAAATATTAGGGATTTTTCAAATTAAAAATAAATTCTTATTAAAATCATGAACTTTATATAAATGAAACTTTATATAAATAATAATAATAATAATAATAATTATTATTATTTTATATATAAATACATAGATAGATTAGCTAAATATATTTAGAACGATTTAGAAGTATATAAACAATACTTATATTCAATACTATTACTAGTGCAACAACCTCTACTACTACTAATTATTATTATTGCATGATTTTTATATGTATATTCTTTAAAAAAACAAACATTATCATGAAACTTATATTTATTATATAATATATTATATTATATTATTATTAAAAGCTGTGCCTTGTAACATGGAAAAGCTTGCAACTGTTACTCTGCAGTCTGACATGAGCTTTTTCTTCTTCACTGATGACCCTCTTAGAGTGTATCTTGCCTACTACAGTTACTGAGTAAATTGGAGCTGCGGAAAACATGGTGACAGATGTCTTACATCACTCTCATGTGATTGGCTGTGAGTTTTTTTTATTGTCTGTGTGAAGTCTCATTACCCACTGCCCCTGGAAAAGAGCCTAATAAGGCAGACAACAGTCTGCAGTCTCTATTGAACTGTACAGAGAAAAATAAAGGTCTGCACCACATGTGAAGACACCTGCTTGCTATATTTAGAACGATTTAGAAGTATATAAACAATACTTATATTCAATACTATTACTAGTGCAACAACCTCTACTACTACTAATTATTATTATTGCATGATTTTTATATGTATATTCTTTAAAAAAACAAACATTATCATGCAACTTA